CCACAAATGATTTTGTATTAGAGGTATACTTGAGGCCAATTATTAGGCCTACACGAGGCAGAATGTATAGACATAGTTCTGGAGATCAAGCATTTGGGAGTCAAACTCGGGGGCGTGTTACGACCAGTTATGTCCGCCGCAGAAACACCGCAGATTTGGAATCATGAAATCTCATAAATTATTCTTCCACAATTCTTGAGTACTGTCCCAGCTTCTGCCTGTACCCTGTGACTTTTACATCATCATTAATCCGATTTAGTAACTTTGCCTTCTCTTGCTTACTCCTACCAGGGATCATGGGCCAATATCATGTGGCTGCTAAGCACAAACATTTGCTTAGCACAAAAAGTCTTGCTTAGTACGAACAGGTTACCAGTCAAAACTCCATGGGATTTTCATGCTCAGCAAACAACAGCTGAATACCAATCACAAGCAATATTCATCGCATGGAAATTTGGTTGGTAATCCTCTTTTTATCAAGGAAGAATTCTCATGCCAAGAAATTTGTGTGCCAAGCAGCTTCATGATATAGGCCCATGTCATCGCTGACTGAGCCTGACTGATGGCTAAATCGAGTGACTGACTATTTAAGTGAGGATTAGCAATTCCAATAAATGCGTGGCTAAATAATTAGGAAACAAAACCCTTACTTATAGGCAACAATCAGAATCATTTGTTACTATCTCTGATCAGTAACAAGGGTTCCTTACTTTCCAGAATGCGAGACTTTTGAGACGTTGGTGGCAGCAAACACACCGGCCCTTTTCAATTGTTTACGTTATTTTTTTTTAAAGCGCGCATGCTCAATATGACGCAACAATGGAAAAGGGACCGGTGTTTGCTGCCACCAACGTCTCAAAAGTCTCTCATTGTTTTTGGAACACTGAATTCCCCCTCTTTTTCATCTCACATGTTGTAGTTGTACATTGCTGGAAGTGTAGCACTACATGTATCTCTCTGCACAGAGAAACTTGTTACTACTGCATTTACATGAATCTGATTCCCACATTTAAAAAGTATATTTTGGGGGTGGAACATTACTACCATTTTTCTCACATAGTATATGTCTAGTTGGGTCGCTGGCACAAACTTGTGTTTCTTCACCGGCAGTTTATCAAAAGCTTGTTGTATTGCCTCTGTCGATATCTGATACTATTTGCAAACGGTTTCTCTCTGTTAAAGTCCTGTAATTTTTGATATCTTGACACATTTTCTCTTCCATACTCAAGCATTTTCAGTGATAATAATTGCCCCCATGCACAGTTATAAGCTACTTGCTATTTTTTTCTGCAATGCATTGATGAAGGAACCGTACCCATGGCTTTCAAAACTAATCAAAATCTAATCGTCTTGCCTCTGTGGCTGCAAGATGTTGAGACCAACTTGAAAGGTCATGTTAGAGTTGCACTGCGCCTCCCTCTGCTAAGTACAGCTTCTTGCTTCCCGTTGAGAAGTGGCACTGTCTTGTTGCATGACAGAACCTCTGTAACAGCAAGGCCTGTGTGTTTTCCTTGCACTGCTAGTAGCTGAGGCCGGCCATCACAGTCAGGATTCGCACGCTGATGGTCCAGGGTTGCTTGAACGGTGGTTTCAACTGTAGTGTTGACATCAACAAACCTGTATCCGCCTGGGTTCAAGTACTCGGTTCCTTCCCTCTGGAGTATGCTGATCGATGTTATTTCTTCAACTTTGGGTCGCAGCACCATCACAGTTGTCTTTGTTTGCAAACATGGTAACAAACTCAGCGTACAAAATTCCCCATTCGGTTAGTAATTTAGTAAAAAATGCCCTACACGCGCGCACACCACTGATTACTAGCGCCCATTGGATAAACGCTCAAGTTGCGTTAGCTTCCGGCTCCACTGTTAATTTAATATAGCTCTATATTCCAATGCTATCTAATGGCCGGTGGGCGTGGTTTAAATTGAATTGACGTCACACTAACGAACCGGATAGTTCGTTACTCATACACCCAATTACAAGTTTGCCAGAAAATCATGTTCTTATTTTTGTGCGCATTCTAAAAGCGTTCATTATGCATTTCAAAGTAAAATTGAAAATTCACGCCATAATAATGGTTTTTGCTTACTCTATGGGCTCCGTGCGCAACCAAACGTGGGCGCCCTTTTACCTGGCAACGACGTCCCATTGGCGGGACATTTAGCTGGTAGACGCGCACCGCTCCTTGTGTGACCCGCGTACACCAGGGGATTTGTACTATGTACACGCAGTGGTATGGGGCCGCGCGTCGCGGCAAAATTGCAGTCAGGCAAGATGGCGTCGGTCGGTCACCCCCAACTGTACTCGCTTTGCCGGTGAGGGGGTACTTGTGAACGGAGCGGATAACAGTTAAGTAAACTTAAGATTTATGAACGGGAATGTTTAGAGCTTGATGAAATATCACTTACTGTGAAATTTCTCCTGAAATTTTTGCTTTAGCAAGGCACTAGAGACGAAATAATCTAAGTGCGCCACATTAGGGGCCGCGCCAAGTTAGGGGACATCAGAAATATACACTGTTGTTTTTATGAGGTCAGGATTCCAGTCAACAGATGCTGAAGCGCCCTCTATGGTTCATGCTTGCGATTCATACCATCATCTGTCAGCAACAGGTGACCTCACCCAATGCTTTCTCCTGCTTACGACACGCGTTATGCACCTCACATTGACCCTTTCCCCCACTGGCATAGATAATGGTGGCCAAGGTTCGATTCCCCGCTCGGACCATGTGTGCTCCGCTGTGCTCCGTGGTCAGACATGGGTCGTGTGGCGGCATATTAATGCGCCTTAACATGCTTGCGGCTCGACCACTATGTAACCGCGTCCTTTGCAATTCAGCTTCACATATCTGCGAGTAAGGGTATTTATCCTCCAACTTATTATTATTATTAATGAATAGAGGTCAAATGAACATGCGAATTGATGGCCCTAAGAATCTTCTCACAAATCTGTCCTAAAGTCATCGCACCGCTTTTTGTTGAGTTTCGAATGGCTTATAGGCCGCTATCTTCTGTCGATCTGTGCGTGATGTGTCCCATCACATTCACCAGAAATGTTAACTGACCACGTTTTTCCGTTTCAACTAGTTATTATTATTCCGAACAAAAATAATGTAACACCATGAGAACTACGTCGTTAATCTACTCTAATCTAACACAAAGCATTATTTTTTCGTGAACAGATTTCAATAAAGCTACAGGGTAAAGATCTAAAAATGTGAAATCCAATAAATTCTATTTAACATATATCATGATTTTGAGATTTTCCAACAATGTGGCTTTCACTCATCCGACAACGTGAAACATTCTGATCTAAAATGTCTTCCAATCAATGCTTTTAAAATTGAGGTGACAATCATCATTCATATGCAGTATATCCAAGAAATTGATCCGGTTGAAGTAAAGGACTCCTTCAGTAAAACTGTTCATCGTTGATTTTGAAATCAACGATGCTAGCAAACTACTACAATTATCTATAATAAAAAATAACACCCTTCTTTTAAATGAAAAGGTTCCATAGAATTCATCCCAATTGGTAGAGGTGGCGGGCTATTACACCCTGGCCTTAATCGGGTGTACGAATAAAAAAAAATTGAAAAAATTGAAAAAATATCAAAATTCTGTCACAATCTACTTTTTACTGGTGAATCTTTTTTAATTATGGTAGTTGTCGATGCGGTCTGTTATCCGTTTACATCATTTAAAGTGATGTTTCCCGGGCTATTTTTGAGTTTCATCTCGAAAAAATACATTCCTTTTTCGAAATTGCAATTTGTTCAGCAATTCAAAAATTACTCACTTGTGCATGAGACATATACCGAAAAAAAGTCGGCCTATGTTTATTAATTTACAATTTCGATTTATTGGCTGCCAGACAATAACTCCGTTCTCCCGGGGTAATGTAGACCCGGAGCCAGTCTGATTGCAAAGCGGATCTGTTTGTACCCAAAACAAAAACCTTTTGTTTCAGAGGGATGCAGATGTCCCGAAAAAGGAGGGATTTTGGTTGGAATGTTTAAAAACATACATGTTGAAATGTATTAATAGAACAAAATTCGAATTTATTGAGCACGGGGAACGCTATTCTAAAATCAGCTGAAAATACACAGAAATTTAACAAGCGATAATAATTTAAAAATTACTTATTAATCCACCATAACACAAAATTAATCACCATTTAGACTAATAAAAACTAACATGAACCTACTCAAGGGCGGATCCAGAAAACAAATTTGGTCCCCCAAATAGTGGGTCCAACAAATTACGGCGTAGGGTAATTCTAAATGCTCTGTGGTGCGATCTGAGGCAATTTCTGACAATTTTCACCACATTTTTGTTAGGAGAAGACGGTGGTGTACGCAGTGCCTTCAGTGCCTATTGCGACATCACTTAAATAAACAAATTGGGTTCTGTTTTTTACTGGGGGCATGGCCCCCGTTGCCCCCCCCCCCCCCCCATCCGCCCTTGAGCCTGCTATAACTGTTATTTTAAATTAAAGTGTTAAATTCGTAAGTCAATTAGATCTCAGTCAATTCACTTCACAAAACATGGATCGGACACAATACTATTTTAATGACTCGGAACATCTCGTGTTTATCCTTATTACAAAAATATACAAACACTAGAATAATTAAAATGCGAATTTACGAGCAGCCGAACTCTTCTCATTCTGTTTTTTTTTTGTCCACCAGGGAAACTAAATGTATAGATTTACCAAAGCAAGAAAAATAACTCTTAATTATGTACAGTGATGTCTCCAAAGTTGAGATTACGCTATTCCAACATTCTATGAGACTTCACTTTTTTAACCACGTCTATCTAATGACGCAAAGAACAAAATCGGTGTTCATTGTCAAAATGTCTCTGGAGTGAAAAGTCTAGCAGTCTTGCTCTTTTGTATTTATTTTTTACACGTAAAGAGAATTGAATATTTGTTTACCTTGATTACTTCAAGAAAAGATCTTTTTGAAACACCTTTTTCCTTTACCGGAAGCAACTCATTTTTTTGTCCTGAAATCTTGTTGTACAAAATAACGTCTCACAAATGGTTTGTCCTCGCAAGAAGCATATCTCTGTCTCTTCCAGTTATTTCAAGCTCAAGTTTATAAACTACAATGCAAATCACCGAGAATGTTTCCCTATTATCATTACTACTAGCCGATGCACACTTCTGAGTACATGCAGAAATAATCGGTGTTTTGAAACTTGTCCTTATCTTCGGAGCTTGTGCTGTTTTTCAGCTGGCAGATTTTCTTCCCTTTTTCGCTTTTCTTGATGTTGAAGGAGCGACATCCGGGCTCCTTGGCGCAGGCTGAGCCACAGGCGACCACGCCCTCGGTGATAAACTCCCGGATGCTGTGGTCGAGGAGGCAGGTTGAGTTGAGAATGCGGCCGTGGGTGTCGGTAGAGAGGCAGTATCGACGGGGTTGGGTTGAGTGGTGAGGACAAGCCGCCTGATGAGCACATACTGCCTTATGATTCACAGAACAAGAACCGTCATCCATTTTGTCATTAAAATATCCAAATATGTATGCACAATCTTGATTGTCTTGGAAATCATCTGGTTGCTTAGCACTCCATTCCAGGAAGGGCTCTCTTCCTTCCTGGCCGTCACACTCCCAAGTTCCTTCCGCTTCCTTGTCAGTGCAAGCAATCCAGACATGGTAGTTACTGTCCAGCTTTCGGGCCAAGTCCACCATGAACTTCATTTCTTCCAGCGAGCGAGGAGCGGCCATCTTGCCTCCCAAATCTTGGCATTTTGTCTTGGCGTCATCCCAACTATGCGGTGACGGAGTGATGCGATAGCACACGTAGTGCCACATTTGCCACTGTGACGGGCAAGAACAGCTGACAGCTGGTTGAGCCGGGCAGATGTTATACGATCCCATTACTGCTGCGATAGAAGAAGAGATGGCCAAAATGACAACCAATTCTGGCGAATACATGATTTGTTTGGTAGGCAACAGGTTTCAATTACTTGCCGTTTTTATTCTAAGCGTACGTACACGGAGTGGAGACTTATAGCCAAAGTGAGCACTTGAGACCGCAGTGAACGAAAACAACCAATTCGACATCAGTTGAAAAGCTAGTTGTTATGGCAACAATTTTGAATACATGTAGGTCAGTGAATCAATATTAAATTGTTCCGACAATTCTTTAATTAGTGCGGGGGCTAGAACTACGCGAGGCATTTTATATTGGCTGCTGGCCGACCGAGCAATCAAAATAGATCTTCAGCCATGACGAAGTAATTTATTTGTACCACGAATTGTTAACAATTTCCTGCTGTACGTGGCAGGAAATTAACCACTTAAATGGAGCCCTAACCTTTCAATGTGTAAAAGCGATACCAATGGGTGCTCGGAAATACTCGGGGGCTATCCGATTGTCGACGAAATGAATTCGGCAAACTTCGGACATATTCGGAAAAAGGAGGATTTCCTCCCGTTTTAGTCACGTAACGTTAATTGTAATACAATGTATTACCGGAGGCTACCTGACCTAAGATTCATCAGGAATAGTCAGAATTTTTTGTTCTGGAAACCAGACTACGATGATGGGGGAACTTGCAACCAGTCTATGCACCTGTCTTTTATGGGTGTCAAGAAGGGGTCGTTTTTCAAACCGATCCGCGCGAATCCAGAAGGGGGGCGGTCAAAAACCACCCCTCCCCCGATCTTACGCAAAGAAATATATTAAAAATAATCTGCCAACCCCCCCCCCCTGCACTTTGACACCCCAATATACTGGTAATAATATAGTTTTCACGATCGTTAGATTTGAACAACGCCGCCATTAAAGGTATGGCACGAGCCCCTCCCCCCCCCCCCCGCCATGGTCACCGTTTTAGCCAATTTTTGGCTAACTTTGACAGATTATTTTGTTAAAAAGCACGAGTGTGACAGAAAATTTGACAGAATAATTTTTTTTGGTGGATTTCTGGCAGAATTCTGCAAAAAAGAGAGGTTATTTGACAGAAAAACATAGCAAATTAAAATAAAAAATAGTACGCTTGTTGAAAAAAGCTTCAATCCTTTCAAACAAAGCCTTGTATAATGGGACAGGTTGGCTGGTCTAGGTTCTAAGGTTCACTGGGAACCGGACTCCGTCGTGACGCAATCGCGTTTTGCATGAAATTTACGCAATTTCATAACGTGACTATAGATTGTTTATAATGTAATTTGAACCTTAAGTAAGGCAATGCTACAACATCTGCATGTGATTTAAAGTGTTTATAGTGTATTTCGAGTAATTCTGGGGAATTTCGCAGATTTTTTTTATAAATCTGACAGATTTTTGAAGTGCATTTGTAGAATTTGGCCATGACCTTACGGGTCAGACTTCCCTCGCCTCTATTAATTTACGGAGGCCAACCGTCCGGAGAAAAAAAACAACCTGTCTACATTTCAGCTTTGATTTGCTGATGACCCCCCCCCCCCCCAAAAAATTCCTGGATCCGCCCCTGCCATCAATCTCGAGTACGTTAAAGGTATAGACCATCATTTTGCAATTTGTGCATTTTGTTCAAGTGCTCAAAATCTAAAGAAGGATGCTGAACAACTAACCTGATGAAGTTTCAGCTCAGCTTCAGCTGTATATTTCGAGAAAAACAACATTTAGGATCTCGATTTCAAATCAAAAGTTGCTGAATCATGTTTTGAATTGGGCCTGAATTCAGCGTCCGAGACAGGTTCTCACAGACCGATTGCAGCTACGCGATGTCGCGCACTGATCCGACGAATTCGCAACCGCGCGCGCGTGTGCGTTGTGCCAATGCTTGCGCACGCTTCGCCGAATAAAAAAGCGAACTACTAATTTGAATTTCCTACGGTGCTTCCTAAGAATCACCACGTAGGAAAGGCCTTCTTTCGTTGATTACTCCAAATGACAGCTTGCCAGAAAGAATAATTTCACAGGGAGTTTAGTCCCCTTACTATCTTTCAACCAAGTATGTTTTTCAACAATAATTACGCCAGTTACTTTTTGGACAGCTGCAAATGATGGACTCTGGCTTTAAGTGCGTTTTTATGAGCCCGCATACCATGGTCCACCACGTTCAATTTGATGATATGTGTGGGCATAATGGACAAACATTACAGGGTTGCTAAATTGACTTGAACAATATATGAACGCAAAGGAAACTGTATTTGACGGTTCTACATGTTTAAAGAGTAGTCCGAAAAAGGCCTAGACCTATACCTGCTTCCTCCAGGAAAACACCTGTATTATTGGAGGTGTAGGCCCCACTTGCAGCCAAAATTAGGCAAATCTAATCGGTATGGATCATATTCGTCGTTATTGCTGCAATAGGGACGGCAGTTGCAACGGTAGGATAAGTGACTATATGTGAATGTCACAAAATGTTCACAGTGAAGAAAGAGTGAGTGCAAGACAATGGGCTGATGGGAAATAAATTGTACCAACCACCATCGAAAAAGACGTGTCCAGCCGGGGGTAACAATAAAAAAAAAAAAACGTACTTCAATAATTATAGGATTCTTCTGTCGGACAAAAGGTTACTTTCTCAGCTTTACCACAAAAAAAACTCTGAAAACATTCTTCGTATTTTCACCGGACGCTGAGAATACCTTCGTATCAATTTTGCTTACATCTATCGCAACTTGAAGAAAAATGGCGGAGTCCTGGACAAGGTGTTCTACTACATGATGAAATACAATCACCAAACCCTCTCGAAACTGACCGAGTTGACTAAAACCGCCAACACAGTTCCGGGAGAGGAGTTTTTTTAGCTCCGATTTCGCAATCACAACAAGAACACGGCGACTCGTCCTAAGGGCGTATTTGGCGGATTTGTGTACGAGAGTTTTGATGAGATGGCGAGGCACCCAGAGAGAAAGTACTTCAAGATGGACGACGACATCGTGTACATCCACCATGGAACCTTCAGGCAGCTGATTGAGCAGCAAAACACCTCCGAGTGCTTCATTCATTTCGGCAACATCGGAGGCGGTATAACTGGCGATGTAGCTATATCCACCAAGAGATGGGTATCTTTGACAACGAGACTATCAACCCAAAGAAGCTGAAATTTGAGTTCAGCCGGAAAGGTCTCCCAAAGTGCGGCTGGAAATCTGCAGAATGTGCTGTGGTGGCAATGAATGCATTCTTCTATCACTACCAGAACAAATCACTGGAGAAATTACTATTTGACGGACGGTACCTGACCCCTGAAAGAGCTCGCTTCAGCATCAACTTCTTTCTACTGGATTCAAACCTAATTGACATTCAAGCCATGTTGGAAAGTGGACCAATTGGTGCAGACGATGAACATTGGTTAACAGTCATCTACTCCGGCAAAGTCAAGAATCCCAACTGCGTTGTAGGAAGGGCCTTTGTCGTACATTTTTCGTACTTCACTACCGTGCGGGAGATTACTAAACAAGGCTTTCTGCCAAGGTTTGAGATGATTGCACGTGATCTCGTAGAAGCTCTTCCTGAAGCACTTCAAGACATACTTGCCTTTAATAAAACACTTGGATCTTGAAAACCCTGACAGTTATTTCGCGCTGTTAATCGTTCGTTAGCCAAATTATAGTATAATGATTGGTTATTGGTAAAATTGCACTCACACACCAAGTGCCTTGTACATGCGATTCGTGGTGCAATAAACATTTTTTTAAATGTGTAACTTTTGAAACTCACTTTTTTTCTTTGTAACTTCTCAAAATTCAGGTTGAAAATGAAACGGGAGTCTTTTTCTCAATTTCAGTTGAAATTCTCAATTTTGAAATATTTAAGAATCCTGCAATGACACATAGATGAATTGGATTTATTCAACAAATTAGCAACCAGCGTGGAAGTTTTCCCCTTTTTCACGTAAGCCAAGTATTCATCATACAATCTGGATTGTTATAGTGTTTCCCAGGGAACTACCTGTTCAACTATTATAACTACTTGTTCGCTAGTGTCCAGTTTTTAGTCGATCGCACGTGTTCTTGTTTTCTCGTTCTTTTCCTTGATTGTTGTCTCTTGATGGTTTTTGTGTTTCGCCGACTTTTCCCACTCTATACTTGATTCGTTTTGTTTAATAACAATAAGAATTAAGAAGAAGAAAGCGTTTTGAATTGTGTTCACTCACCAAACACATTTATGAAGGCCAGGCAATTATCCACACAGCCCCGAGGCTATTTGGCTACCTTTATCCCAATGCCTAAATTTGAAAACTTGGTCCCATGGTCAATTTGACCTCGCTGGAGAATTACTCGTAACTCTGTCAAAATTTTCAGATTTGGACGTTTGATTTCTCATTGTAAAGTGGAAAAGCGTATCTTTAGAACCATACCTATATTATCTATTTATTGCTTTTCTTGTCTCTCACACAATAAAGCATCATTAGCTAGAGCTCGACCTTTTGGGGTTGAGGAGTCCTTTCTTTTCTTTTTCTTTTTCTTACACAATAATCATTTAAATTAAATATTACTTACTTAACGAGATAATTAAACATAGTACATATCTACTAAGTTTACCATCTTTGGCATCTGATCTCTTTTGTATTTGTTGTCTCTGAAAATATTTCCTCTTTTCTTTAATCACTAATTTTCGTTGCATTGTTACAACCTTTGGATACTAACACTTTTTCTTTTCAATTATAGTTCTGAACTTTGTTAACATTATGTTTTGTTCCATGTACTAACTAAGCTAATATAATTAGTAATTTATTTACTGGTAATATTTCTTTATCTTTTGTCAACTATTTTCACATGATTTTACTTCTGTGTTTTAACCTATTCTTGGCTGTTTTGGAGGGCCATCTCGCCACAACTAGCCCTGAACTTGATAAACATTATATTTTGGTCAATGTACCAAATAACTCAATTCAAGTATTAATTTATCGACTGTTTCTTCGTTGTTGTTGTCGGTTTTTTTTCATATCAAAAACTGATAACTTAATGTTTTACCCTGTTATTTTCACTGTATCTATATATATATTTTTTTCTTG